TTGCATGAGGAGCCAATGATTTTCTGTAATAGAAAGGACCACAGTCCTAGTCTCTGTCACCAACTTCCTCTCCATAAAGGTCAGGGTAGATTTAGATGGCCTCATGAGGCAACGATGAACAACAGGACTCCTAAAATATGGTTAAAACAAAGGTAGAGAGTGAAGGGAGTGAGCAAGGCCTGGAATGAATCAGGGTATCATCTGTGCTTCTGAGTCTCAGGGTGTGGTAGGCACGAGAATACACCTGGTGGACTTCCACCCACAAGAAGCGTGTTTGACTAAGGCCCCAGCCACCACTCCCTGAAACCTATCCCTGCATTTGTGCCATGGCCACATCTCCCATAGGCTGCTTCCTGCCAATGACCTGTCTCTGGGAGACATGAGACTTCTTTTTGGCTGACTGGCTCGAGAACTCCCCTAAAGTTTTATCAAACCTTCCTGAGACCATATAGAAATCTAGGAGGCTTGCAGCCAACTTTCTCTCCCTCTCTCCTTCACTTGAGGTCAGACTAGCATCACATTCTGATGACTGGCTCAACTCTCTTCCTACTTCTTTTACATGCAGGCATTTCCTCCTAATAAAATCCTTGCCTGTTTTATTCCATCTTGGCATCTGCTTCTTGGAGGACTCACACTAACATGCACAGTACAAGTGCTGAACCTGTCTTGACCTACTTCGAGTCATTTGTGTCCCAGGAGCTATTAGAATGAACCTTATGAAACTGCCAGCATCCAACCATTGGTGACTTACAAAAATAACCATTTCATGTAGTTCAACCTAATAGTAGTGCAGAATGCTGACAGGGTTGAAACACTGGAGACTCAGTTCTCTAAAGCCCAGAGTTTCTTTGAGACTGAAATAAGAATCTACATTCCTTTTCCTGAGAGGGCTGAATCTGAGATAGTTAGCCCAGTCCCTGAGCTCAGGATAGCTTTGATCCAGGAAATCTGATGCTTTCCTTTGCCCATGTTTCCCTCAGGATACAGCTTGGCTGCTTAATCAGCCTTACTCAATGGCTATTTCCACTGGAGCCCCACTCATCGTCATTACTTACCTGAAAGACGATGGGCATCAAAACGTGCCCTGATTCTCTCCTGTAGGTAGCCTTTGCCTCATGGAAATGCTTTGGCTCAGGAATTGATAGAACTTTGACCTTGAAGGCACTGATAAGTTCGTGGGGAATTCTTTTTAAAATCAGAGGTATCCTAGAAACTGGGAGAGTCCACCTTTCCAGAACTAGGCAGGATTGATTCAGAACTCAGAATGACTGCTGCACAGGGAACTCTGCACCACCTTTCTTGTTTCCAACACAGCCCAGGAAGGCAGCTTCCACTCTGGAGACAGGAACCCTCTGCCACAGCTGGCATACTGAACTAGGAATAAATCAGAGAATTCTCTTCCACTTTCCAGATCACTGAAAATAGGGACTCATAGGAGTATAAAGAAAAATAATGGGACCTTGGAGGGGAATATACTGGACTTCTTGCTCCTATTGGCAATGGTAGTTCAGTCTGGCTTGACTAGGGCATGCAACTTGCCCCTCAAATTCAATATGCCAACTACACATAGTAAAAATGTTAATGTAAGAATTTACCTTTTAATGGAGAAATTAATTTTCACAATTAAACCTAAATCAAATTGTAATTTAAAGTATGGAGATTTTGCTATTCAAAAATCTTTATGTTTCTGAAACTTTAGCTTTTAAAATTAGGTAACCACATAACTTTTATTCTCAAATGCTATGAGAAAAGTCTTACTTTTCCTCCAATAATTTCCTTTTTATTAAAGAAGAAAAATAACTTTACATGTGATTAATTTGAGAACTTTAATATAAAAAATAGCCTCCATTTCTGAGCACTTACGGTCTGCTAAAATAAAGTTAGGAACTATTGAATACTTGAGTTCTTCCACCAGTACTGACTCAGTGCTATGAAATGAATAGAATAAAATCACTATTGCTTTTGTGTATGTTTCTTCTTTGTGTATTCTATATTTCTTCTATGCAACTTGAAACACTGCCATATTTTGTATTGCACTTTACATAAACATTTCTCTAATTTATCATAAGCCTTTCATGAACATTATTTTTCCATTGTGTGCACATTATAAGATGTTTAACCCTTCCTTATGTTTAGATACTTAGATTGTTTCACATTTTTTTGCCTCAACTGAACATATAATCATTCTCAAGAGTAGAATTACTGGGTTAAAGATTACAGTAGTCCCCCCCACTTATCCACAGGAGACAGGTGGATGGTTGAAACCAGATATAGTACTGAACCCCATATATACTGTTTTTTTCCTATACATACATACATATAACAAACTTTCATTTAAAAATTAGGAACAGTAAAAGATTAACAACAACTAATAAAAAAGAACAATTATAACAATATGCCAGCCTCACTACTTTTGCACTTTGAAGCAATTATTAAGTAAAATAAAGGTTATTTGAACACAAGCACTGAGATACCACAGCAGTCAATCTGACACCAAGACAGCTACTAAGTAACTAGTAGCGTCTACTGGGTGGATACGCTAGACAAAGGGATTATTCACTACCCAGGTGGGACAGAATGGGATGGTAGAAATTCGATCATGTTTCTCAGAATGGCATACAATTTAAAACTTATGAATTGTTTATTTCTGGAATTTTCCGTTTAATATTTTCAGATTGTGGTTGACCAAGGGTAACTGAAACCATAGAAAGTAAAAACCTTGGATAAGGAGGGACTACTGTATTAACACTTTTAAACTCAATATACATCTTCAAATTTATTTTACATTTTTATCAGCAACACATGAATATTCCTATTGGAGACCTTGAATAATATGGAAGAAAGATGTGGAAGATCCTAAGATATTCTTCAGAAAAACATCTTTTCTAACATGAAAAAAATGGCATTTCATTTAAATTTCCATTACCATACCAATAATATTTGACATTTTTCACCAACTTTGTTAAGTAATCTATATCTGTATTATTTAGAGTAACTCCAGAGTTCTTACTTTCAAATGCTCAAAAGTCATCTCTGTAATCCTCTTGAAAATTTTCACGAGTTATTTCAAATAGACAGGCTTAAATAGGACTGTTATCTATTCTGCATCACTTAACTCCTTTGTCTCAGTCTAATTGGTGTAGTGGAATTTACATTAATAAATGAACCAGGATATTTACATAGTTCTCTCCCTCTCTTTCTGTGTGTGTGTATGTGTGTGAGAGAGAGAGACAGAGAGAGGCTAATCTTCAATCTTCTCTCAAACCATAGGAATCACTGACTTATGTCACAATCATAAGTCACTCATAACTAAATTTATTTTCCTCTTCAAATTACATTATCCTTGTTACTTCTCACATGTTCCATTTTGTCCTAAAAGTTTCTTACATTATCACCAAATATATAGTAAAAATCCTCAATATTAAAAATTAACACACCATGATTCAAGTTGATTTTTAAATATTTTCTCCCTAATGATGTATGTCTTGGTGAAGAGAATTTTTTTTCTAAGATTAACTTACTCAATTCATTCTCTCCAGATTGTGGATTGGAAGTTGGATGAAACATTATAAATCAATGTGGAAAAATAATTTTGCCAAATTTCAATCTCAATCAGTATCCATCAAAACTTTATCCTTTGGCTGTTTCAAGATATTTGTGTGATATTTTTAAGCTGTTAAAAGTTTATTTATTTTAAAGGCTCAATGGGCTTCCTGGATGCCAAATCACTTTTTTAAAAATTTTGATGATACAAACTAAAATGAATTAAAAACACATGGAATCAATGTTCTCTAAAATATATGTGTTTTCAAAGTTTAGAGAAAGAGGGTGGGAAGAGGTGCTTGGCAGCATGTTTGGGTTTTAGTAAATCCGAAATTTTCGAAAAATTGTTCCAGATGTTGATGAACCCCTTGGTTCCCCTAAGTTTCACCCAAACCTGCTATAAATAAAGATAATTATAAACAGCAATAAACTAAGGTTAAGGCAGTATGTAATGAATGCCATAGGAATCATAATTGATTTGAATTAACTCTGAACTGAATTTAGCCACAGAAAATACAGATGTGGATGGGTTGTAAATACCATTAAGAAAAGTAAAGTTTTACGTACGCTCACATAAATAGGAAAATAAAAACAGAACTATTTCACACATAAAAACCTGACAGCATCCTGGCATTTCATCCTGGCATTCAGAAGCTCTCATTATCTAGCCCAGTGGTTCTTCAGACAGGATGATAAATCTCCCATGGAGGATGTTTGGAAACTTGTGGGACATTTTTGGTTGTCACAATGACTGGAAAGAGCTACTGCCTTTTATTACCCAGTGGCCAAGGACGATTAACATCCTGAAATTCCCATAAAATGAGAAAATATTCACCCAAGTAACCATGGTGTCCCCACCAGTCTCCCCAGCACTCTCTGACCCCTAAATTTGTATCTCACCAAGTTTCCTCACATCCTCCACAAATCACAGCCACCCTGCCTTTGTGTTTTTCCTCTACTGTTCCTTTCCTTGGAATTTGTTGCATCTCCTCTTCAATAATCCATATCTAGTATTATCTTCCAAGAAAGACTCTTTTTCATTTCAGGTCTCTCCTCTGGAAGACTGACTTCCATAGTAAACTTTTTATCTTCTCCTGAGGTATTTCAATAGCCTCATTCTCACTATTTCATATTCCCCAGTTATATCCAATACAGGGTAGTTTGTGTACACAAAAACAGCTTAATTAACTACTGCTGAACTTTTTCTTATCAAGATTGTGGACTTGTACAGACTCAGCTATAGTTTAACTTTCTTATTTGGCTTTGTTGAAAGAACTCTGCCACGTGTGTTCACATGCACACATATGTGTATGTCTGATGATATAAATATAGACACAGACATAGATATAGATTAGATACATTCCTATAAACAGACAAACCGTTGACCTCTCATTTAAGGATGGCATTGTTGGAGTAGAATTTGTCCTCTTGGTTCCATTCCTTTGATAAGCACTTACCTCTGATTCTCATGGTTTTGCCTCTTACTAGTTACACTACAATAGTAGAGAATCTTTAGAACCTTGAAGGGCAGCCAGGAAGAGTTGACTTGGAAAAATATAATCTAATACCTCTGGAAGGAAATAATTCCCACAGACGTTTGCTGGAAGATATGAACTATACATCTGGACTGCAGTAATGCTTCAGAATGACTAAGGAGAGTTTCATCTTTCAAGCCAGCGAGAGCTGTACTAGAAAGTATGCTTTCGAATAGCCCTTCACTGGTTTCACGGAACAAGACTTAGGGGCTCAGGTAAAAAATGAATAACTGCTACTTTAATTTAGGGCTGATATCACTTTATGGTGATGTCTAGTACACACAGCCTCCGTCTCAAGAACATGTGACTTTTGAATGACCTCATCCCCATCATGGAGGCTTCCTACTCCTCTGGACCCCTTCCAAGTACCCCTCTTTCCACTGTAGGAGCTCTCACCAAGAGCAGCCTACAGTCCCTCTCAGCCTCAACCCACCTATAGTCCTAGAGAGGGCACAGGATTGAAAGCTCAAAAGATTCAAGATTTCATTTCAGAATGCAAAAGGGAAGAAGTGTACTTTCTGTGGACATATAAGTCTACTGGTAACACTTTCTTTATTCTCTCTGTGAAATAACTGGCTAATATGAAAATGTATAGCAATATAACAATCTTTTATTAATAAAAATGCCAAAAATAACACCATTAACACCATTGCTTTTTCTGACTATGAAAGTATCACATTTATTATTTTAAAATAAGAAATGCACAAAGATGGCAAAATAATTTGGAAATTATTTCTAATTCTACCATGTATAAATTATCACTGAATATTTCAGTAAACATTCATCCAGAGTTTATATTAACACACACACACACACACACACACACACACACGTGCAATCCAAAATAGTATTAAATAAGGTATATACACTGCCTTCAATTTAACTTATTACTTATTATGTTATGGACACGTTTCCATGCCAAACACAAACAGAGAAGGTATAACTATATAACAAGTTTTTAAAGCTGCTTAGTATTCCACTGAATTAATGCATCATAATTTATATTAACATGGCCTTACCATCTGGCATTCAGATTGTTCTCAATATTTCACTATCTCATTCACTGCTGTGATCAACATACATACATTTTGGACATTTCTCTAAGTATTTATTTTTAAGAGATAAATTCCAAGAGTGGAATTCCTGACTCTTATTAGAGTAGAAAAATAATTTTAATTTCCATTATCAAGTTCTTCCCTCAAAATGCTATACCAATTTACTCTCCAACCAGAAACATCTTAAGAAGTAATAAATCCTGGGCTTTGAACAATTAATTTACTAGGTTTTTTGGGGTTTTTTTTGGAATATAACCCACTTTGAATTTTGAGGGTGCTTGTGTGAATATTTTAGTTGTTTAAAATTATGCTTCTTAAACTGTATTCTGGTTTGCTCTGTCAAGGACCAAGGACCAAGAACCTAGAAGAGGAGGGTGTGGGAGATGGGTAGAGAGAGGGGAAGTTAACTTTTCTGTTTTCAGAGTTGAACTAAAACAGGGCTTCTGCTTTTAAAGATTTATATAAGCTTCCCTCTGAGCAAGACTGAATACAAATGTTCAAAATCTTTCGTTAAAAATATCTTTCCTCACAGTGCCAAGGAGAAAAGGTAGTTGTTGTTCTGGTTCACTGTCAGAACTGTGGTGGGAATGTAAATTAGTCCCTGTAACTGCGGAAAGCAGTTTGGAGATTTCTCTAAGAACTTAAAACAGAAATACCATTTAATCTAGCAATCCCATTACTGGGTATAGATCCAAAGGAAAATAAATCACTCTACCATAAACACATATGTACTCATGTTCATCACTGCACTGTTCACAATAGCAAGGACATGGAATCAACCTATCATAACTAGGTACCAACCTAGGTACCCATCAACCGTGGATTGGATAAAGAACATGTGGTACATCACCATGGAATACTATGCAGCCATAAAAAAGAACAAAATCATATCCTTTACAGCAACATGGATGCAGCTGGAGGCTAGCATCCTAAGCAAATTAAGACAGGAACAAAACACCAAATACCACATGTTCTCACTTGTAAGTGAGAGCTAAACATTGAGTACACATGGAAAAAAAGATGAAAGCAATGGACACTGGGGACTGCTGGAGAAGGAAGAGGGCAAGGGGATTGAGAGGTGAGGAACTGCCTACTGAGTCTGTGCTCAGTACCTGGATCATGGGCTCATCCATACCCCAAACCTCAGCATCACACAGGGTTCCCATGTGACATACCTGCACAGACACCCCCTGAATCTAAAATAGAAGTTGTAATGATTAAAAACAAAAAAAAGATAAACAGTTCTCAAAAGAGTATCAATTCACCATGACTTTAGGGTAAAATAAAAATTTCTATAAGGGTGACTGGCTGTACCTTTGAACCGTCAATCTTAAATGGGCTGTCATTTGTAGTAATAGTTGGAGCTATTTAAATAAAGGCAAAATCAATAATTTAACTTGAAATTAAATTATGTCAGGTTGTTAAAAAAAGAGCAAAACCCCCTGAGTTTATACAAATGCTGAGATTAAGCAAATGAGGTTATTTTACCAATTCCCATTAATGTAGTTTTGATAATAAGATAACAGGAAATGTGAGATTCAACTGTTTCATTGCAAAGACATTAAATAGTCTATCATAGTGAAGCATTTTAAAGTATAACTTTTGCAGAAATAGAGACAAGAGAAGGATACATTCACTCTCTCAGTGAATGGGAAAGAGCAGGCTGAGCGGTGAGTAGCCTGACTGGAGGGAGAGAACGGGAAAAGCAAGGAGAACTAAATACGTGGGACCCCAAACCACAAGACATGAGGTCATTCCTTGAGGTCTAATAGAAAACCAAGGGCTCAGAGTATGTGATAGGGCATTAGGAACTAGACCAATCACGCTACTGTTTAATCTGCCATTTGCATGGGAGTCCAGCAGGGGACTGTCTCTGGCAAAGACCTATGTGTGCACTCTGGGGCAAGTATTGACAAGAGAGGAGAACCACATTTTAGGGATCACAACACTCTGCTTCCTGTTTAAGCACTACTTAATGTTTAGTGCCATGAGGAACATTTTTAGGAAAGGAAAAGTAAGTAGCTCTGTTGTTGGAAAAGCAGGTATTAAATAAATTGTTTTGTGAACTCTAGACTGTAAGAACAGCCCCAGAAATTATAATGTATTTGCTTTCAACAACCGAGCATTAACATAGCATGAATCACAATGTGGTAATGTAACATAACACAACAAAACGTAACATAGCATAACATAACATGGTAGAGAACCCGAATTCCTGTGTTTGCCAATTAAGATTCTTTTCTAAATGAAAATTATTCAAAAATCAGTGAAGACTGAATCATCAGCCCCTACACAAACTTGGCTCCACAGTTGGGCAATTCTTGACCCTCTTTGGATCTTAATTCTTTTGTCTACAAAACTAGGGAGTCAGACATCTGAGGAATCTTCCACTTCCATAACTGTCCAATTGTATAATTCCTAGAAATATTCAAATAAGGTAAAATTAGAGACTTTTTTTTAGCTCACAGAATTACTTAACGCCCTATGAAAGGAAATGTGTTTTCCTTATAGCTCCTGGAACTAGACTTTGTCCCAGCTCCATCCTCTGCCCCTCAGGCACAGCAGCTGCAAAAGCTGCAAAAAGTGGCCTGGTTCCAAAAAGCTCTTTTCCTTCTAGCACAGGGGTGAGAATATTCAAGAGCATCTGGAAAGTCTGGTTAGTGTTGCAGTTGCTTCCCAGGGTCTCATGTTGCTTCCTCACAGCAGCTAATGATACCCGCAGAATAAGCATCCAAGATGTCTTCCCACAGTTCACATCCTCTGCTTCATCTGCTCTAAGGGTGTGACAGAGAAATGCTTGCTTTAAGATTTAAGTGGCAGGTGAAAACTAGTACTGCTATTTGCCACATACACATCTTTAAGCAGCTAAAAACCAATGTCTAACTCTAACTCTGGAAGAAAATTTCAAGGCTAACATTTCCTTTAAGAAATCAGCAAATATTTGGTTAGCGGTTGGATTATAAACATAGATGTTACGTTGTATCTGCATCCTCATGCTTAGTAACTTGTAATGTTTAGTCAGACCAATCTCTTACAGTCTTTGTGCAGACTATTGAAGAGATCCATTTCCCTGAAAATCAAAAGGTGGTTGACTTAGAAATAATTCAGTCACTGTGTAGCTGAAGGAAATCAAAAAGCAAGATACCAAAATATTTGAAAAACGTGTTTTACTAGTTTGGAAAAAAGTTAGATCAACACTGTCCCACATGTTTAAATCTATCCAGGAAAATTAAGGGAAGGCCTAGGTTAGATCCAAAAAGCACTTCCTACTGGCTTTCTCATTATTTCTGCAAAGCTATTTGCTTTCTCCACTAGACTCTACCCCTGACATACCTTATGTTCTTCTCTCACTGGTAAAAAACATAGGAAAGGATTTTTTCAATGCATTCACTAAGAGGTAGAAATGGCTGATAAGCTGCAAATGCTTCTTATAAGCTATTCCTCTCTCAACACAGAACAAAACCATAACCAAAGGGATGAAAGACAAATTGCAGAATGCTAGGCTGCAACCAGTCAAAAACAGAGGTTTGTGGAGAAGTGAACACTCCCGGGAGTTAACAAATGATGGTGTAAGTAATTGCCTAACTATCCACAGAATAAAATGTCTTTGTTTATGGTATCAATAATATTCTCTTTTCACCACTAAACTAGGGAAACAGGTGACAGTGACAGAACTAACTTTAAAACCTCAAAGTAATATCACTTCACTGCTAATGCTCAAAAAGTTTTGAGCACAGATTTTAAAGTAAAAACATTGAGAGAAAAAAAAGAAATCTGAGTTTACCTACTACACTGACCATCCAGGGCCACTGGGAAATCTCCTGAGTTCAGAAAATTTCCTTAAACTTTTGGAGTATAAATATGAATAATGTAATGATAATTAAATTGCACTAGTCATCTATTTGATTTAATTGAATATAATGACCAAAAGTTATTCTAGTACAAGTATTTTCAGAATGACTCTCTCAAGTAGACAATTGCCAAGCACCTCAATATTAAACTGGTGTGAGGTCTGGTTTCAATAGAGCAGCAAATAAACAATAAAATGAACACAACTACAAGGTCGTATGTCACAATTTATTTTCTGAGGAAAATAATTAAATTGAACAACCTGAAGGAAGTAGTTCCGTGTTTGTTATTTATAGTTTTCTTTAGGTCATTTAATTTTTCTTAAATCTCATTGGAAGCTTTTAATGTCTTCTTGTACATTGGAGTTGGAGGGAAATAAAATAATAATTACTTAATTATTTATAAAGAAACAGAATGTACCAA